GGGGGGGGGGGGGGGGGGGGGGGGATTGATGTAATTACTCTGTACTAAGGTGAAGAGAAGCTTTTGATAATCTTATGGCTTTAAATACATGTGGAGTATATGAAACACACACTTTCAGACATTTTTATATGACTACATTTCTATTTCAACAGACTTTCAGACCTCATTTGTAAACTATATCTATTTAGTATTTAAAGTCTTTGAATCTGTTTAAACCACCAATAATGCTTAGAACTCGTGCAGAAATTTAGCTGTTGAAAAAGTAATGGTTATTGATAATACAAAAAAATCACAAACTTAAAAGATCTTGTCAAAGTACATTAAGCCAAACTGCTTTTGTTTCAATAATCTAATGTGGGAGCCATCTTTTGTTTTTGGGCAAAACTAGACAATGAGCTACTTTAGTTTTGTCCACGAAGAAGAATCGAACCCCAGGTTTTAACACTAAGTCTGAAGACTTATTGCTGACCCACCCGAGCACAATTCAACTGACAGAGCCGTAACATGAAATGTATTATTCTGTCAAATTTTCAAATATTAATCAACTGAATAGTACTTATTACAAAAATTTACATAAAAAAAACATGTTTTAGATACCACAAATCAACAAATTTTTTAAACAAAAGCAATCCAATCATTAATATTAAATAATAACCCAGTCAATAAGCTGCACAAATATAAGTTATATTTCTACTGAAATAAAACTTTCATTTATAAAAGGTAAAACTTAGCATTAGATAAAATGTATAATAATCTAATTTAGAACTTATTTGTATAGATTTTACTACTACTATCACAACATACCTCACTTAAATATAATTAATAGATTAATTTTATCCAAAAACTTAGTCTTTAGTGAAGATAAATCATTATTATTTTAATGTTAAAAGGTGTCTATTACTATAATAACAATTAAAAACACTAAATATAAAAATATTATATTTATTATCTTTTTTTAAGGATTACCCAGAAGTAGAATCTGTGTTGAATGAACTTGGGCACTATATACTCGCCCAAAACTTTGTAAGTCTGACATAAACTTATAATCATAGTGTGAGCAGAGTAAACAGATTATATACACTCGCCCAAAACTCTGTAAGTCTGACATAAACTTATAATCATAGTGTGAGCAGAGTAAACAGATTATATATACTCGCCCAAAACTTTGTAAGTCTGACATAAACTTATAATCATAGTGTGAGCAGAGTAAACAGATTATATATACTCGCCCAAAACTTTGTAAGTCTGACATAAACTTATAATCATAGTGTAAGCAGAGTAAACAGATTATATATACTTGCCCAAAACTTTGTAAGTCTGACACAAACTTATAATCATAGTGTGAGCAGATAATACAAAATCCACTTGTATTTTCAACTTAATACTAAAGATTTATTAAGTAGAACATAAAATTGAAGGAATACGATAACTAGCTTTATATGGAAAGCACAGTTCAGCTTATTTATGATAAAAACATTCAAGTTATTTTATGTATTTATTTGAAAATATTTTTTACTTTGAGTTTGTCTCCAAGTATTAGGTAATTTAAACACTGGGTTAAATGTCCTCTATAAAATATTCATCTCTCAATTTTTTCCAACTCACATGCAGGTCTTTAGCAATCTCATCCCAGTTTCTCTCTCCCCACTTTGCAGCAATCATCCGAAGTCGCTGGTCCTCTGCTTTTGTCCACTTATCTTTCCGTATAGCTGGATGGACTACATTTGTCCACATCAGTTCACAAGCTTCCGGTGATCGCAAACCCTCCAACTACAAAAAATGTTTTCATAATAGCAACTGTTACATTAGATTTTCATTTTTTTCACACTTGCATTTTTTCCTGCAACGACAACAAACTTCTCACAAACTTACGTAACTAGATGCACTTAAGGTTACATAGTCGGTACACGTACATAATGAATGGGAAATAGGCCAAAATTATAAACATTTTCTGTTACAGCCAAAAGTTTTAGAGCAGCAGTACAAATAAACACATCTCCATAATAACCATTTACTAATACAAACAAAAAAATCAGCACAATTTCCATCTTGTATTACAGAATTACAGTTATGAATTTCTGACAATAAGAATCTAACTATATAAATTAGAAATATTTAAATTCATTCTCGATTCATGACACGTATAAATGTTCTCTATGTCAATGAAAAAATCATTACTGGAGAGAACTTAGTATCAACCAATAAGGATGTAAGATAATAAACACATTTTTTGAGGAAAATAGATTGAAACTAATTTGATAAAATAGATTTAGCAATTTAAAAAATATATTTTTCTATCTAAAGGCTTATAAGTAAATCAGTACAAGTATCAATTAGTTTTTAATTAGGATTAGATTATTAGTAACTCAGAAAGAATATTTATAGTTTGCTAACACTAAAACATGCACTTACATTAGTTGTGGAAATTTTCATCCAGTCCAAACGATCTCCTACACGAGACAGAAGATCGTGAATTGACATCTTTCTACAAAGAAGTTCCAGAAAAAATACTATTTAAAACATCAAATGTGACTAGAAGACATGCAAGTTTTTGCATGCTGGGTAAAAAAATTAAACACTTCTTATAATGAGATGGCTGGCCACTTTTATATATCAGGATCTTGTGAAACCATTTATTAAATATCAGTAGTAGAATCCAAGAGTAATTACCTAAGATAAAAATCTGATACAATACCAGTTATTTAATTTGTTACAACGGAGTAATTAACAGTTACATCAACTCAGTATTGATTATGTATCTCACACAGCATAAAATGCAATTATATATAATATATATACAAATAAGTAAATAAATTTGAAGGTGATAAAACAAAGAAATTAGACTTTTAGAGAAAAATCCCCTTTAAAAACTTTGTTAATAATTCATTTACTTGGTGACATTTCGAGCAAATGTTCTTTTTCAAGCCAGAAATGTTGCCATGTCAATAAATTACTACCATAGTTTTTAAAGGTTACCTTCTTTATAAAAATGCTCTCCAGCTACTGACCACATAACAAAGGGAACAAAGGCTAGTTTTTTTTTTCTCATTAATCAAGTTAATCTTTTATTGATAGATGAAAAACATGAAACATTCTATCTTTTCATCAATTTCTACCATTTTTCAGCCATAAATTCAATCGGACATATTAAGAGAAAAACCGAGGAAATTTCTAATACCATACAAATATTACTGGTCAAATTATACCGGACAGTAGAGCTGGGTTATTAACTCATTATTACCATCTCTAGTTATTACAACTACCCATAATAATTCATCTTAATTGATTTTCAGGTTGCAACTCAAAAACAAATCAATTAATCAAGATTAGCGTTTCCAATTATTACTATTTTGAGTATACTCAATTAATCAATTATCGAATTCCACTAACTGCTCAGCTCTACGCGCCTTTCACATACTTTTTGTTATGTTGTTTCTTAGCATCTAATTATGAGTGGCCCACTTTCGAACATGTTATTAAAAATCTCCTTTACTAAATAGCAATGCGTTTTCCGAGCGTGCTAATAAAATGATTTTAGTTTGATTTTTTGATACAACAGTTTACCTAAAGTTATTAAGTTTGAATCTCTCAAGGTTTAACAGCTTCTAATTCTCTAAAGACTGGTGATCCTGTGTAACGTAATGGAGAAAATAACATTCCTAATAAAATGATTAAAATCTGTAAAACAATGATTAAATGTCGCTAGATTTTTAAAAATGTCTGCCAGAATTAAAATATATGTTATTGCAACTTACTTAATCCTTTTAATTTCTGCTTCCGTTTCTTTCAGCTTTTCTTCGATTTCATCTGACTTTACTTGGTTTAGATCACCCTGCAGGATTTTCTCACTTAAAATATCTTTCCTGGATTGTAAAATTTTTAGATTAGAACATAAGAAAAACAATAGTATATTGACAAAAATATATCACTCTCTACATTATGACTCAGGTAACTTTACTTTTTAAAACAGCAGGATAAACTAATAGTGTTTTGGATTCATGTGTGTGAAACTGATGCATTTCAAATATAAAAACAAAATTTAATTAAGCAGTTTTGGAGTCATGTGTGTGAAACTGATGCATTTCAAATATAAAAACAAAATTTAATTAAGCAGTTTTGGAGTCGTGTGTGTGAAACTGATGCATTTCAAATATAAAAACAAAATTTAATTAAGCAGTTTTGGAGTCATGTGTGGTGTGAAACTGATGCATTTGAAATATAAAAACAAAATCTTCAATTCATGAAGAGACAACAACTCAACACTTCAAATACATTGGTCAAACACATAAAATTGTGTACAAGGTTAAATTTAAATGTACCTGTAATATGATTGGCAAAACCTTCTCGCATTTCTCTATGATAAAACTTTGGTTACATTTTGAATCAACATTAAGAGCCATTTGTAAATGGGTCTACAACATTAATTACACGAAACACACCAAAATAAAGCTATGTTTACTAGGTAATTTAATTGTACAATTTCATCTTTTTTTTGTATTATAAAAATAATGATAATCCCTGAACTTAGACCAAACTAACACAACAATTCCACTTATAATGTGTTCGCATCTGGCTATGGGAGATATTTATTCAATATATAAACTTATCGTATGTAGAATTGTTCTTAGTAGGTTCTTTACTTCTAGGCTTTTGCTTGGCAACAAACTTGATTCTGACTGAACACTAATGTGATAAGTGATAGTACTTGAAAATACTAGCTAGCCCTATTATCGGAAATGTCGATTTTCTCACCTGGTCATTACTTGTTCCATTGCCAGTTCTCTAGCATTTTCAGTTACAACTGCCAGTAACTGCTTTCTGTCTTCTTTGCTCCCTAAAAAAAAAAAAAATCATTCAAAATTTAATATATCAAACAGTATTAACCTATTAAAATTTGCAGTCTTACTGAACTTAACCAGCACCAATATTAATGATGTTCATATTTATAATTTCCCTTAAATAATGTAAATGTCTATTGATTTCTAACAAAACACTTAAAACTTAACAAATGTTTAATACTGACATACCAGTAGTATAAAGTTAAATGTTTTATATAAATTTTTTTCAGCTAAAAATATAAATATGTATTATATTACTAATAACATAAATAGTTTTCAATTAAGCAAGTGTACCAAATAAAAAAAGCTTCATTTAAATTCTCCTTTACGACAACTGAATGTTTGCCTATTGATTGAGTGAATATGAAAATAGCTTCATTTACAATGAATCACGTAATACTGCTGTCTTGAATCAACAGTAAGAATGACTAAAAATTCATACAAGTCTTATGGTACCAACTTGACAGCTACAGCATGGTTTGTGCGCCTTCAGTGATTTAGATTTCCATGACATTTCTAAAACTTTCCATAGCCCTCAAAACTAATTTTCCAGACCAAATATAACATGAAATAGATCATATAATCCACATTAACTGTTTATTTTGTATAT